TTCCAAAAGAAGGGTTTTTTTCTGACATTTGGTCCAGTGTAGACAGGCCAAATGTTGGAAAAACCTCTTCCTACAGAATAGAAGAATAATAAAAAAAAAGCAGCAGTATAAGTATTGGGGATAGCAAGTGATGGAGAGGGGGAGAATAGAGATGGCGGGGCTTCAAAGAAGGGGCGGGGCTTCAAGGAAGCAGCAGGGCAGTAGATCTTGGCTTGGTCTGTCATTTAAAAAGTGATCTTGGGTGTAAAAAGATTGAAGACCACTGGTCTAAATCTTCAGCATTAAGAAAGCAAGATCTAAGGATATGTCTAAACTACAAGCACTACAGTAGCATAGCTGCTAGATGAGCAGTATCTGATGCTGTAGAAAACCTGACTCATCCAGAAGTGGTATCTAGGCCTTCTGTTGACATAGTGGTGTCTATACTGGGGCTTAAGTTGGCTTAATTTGTTTCTCAGGGGTATACATTTTTCACAGCCCTGATGATGAGCTAGGTTGACCTAAGTTTTAGGTGTAAATCAGGCCTAAGTATTTGTATTCTATATTGTAGGCACCAGGAGAGGGGGACACTGAACATGCTGTTCCTAGTGGTGTGTAAGGTATAAATACAGCTCTGATTCCAGCTATAAGCCAAGGGCAGCTGTTCCCAACACTGGAATAAGAGGGGAAACCCCACTGTAGAAACCCCCCCCTCCGGCTTGGGAAGGGTGAAGAAATCTAAACTAAGGATCTAAAATTCCTGACCCAAGAGCAGTTGCACAATACATCTTGGGCACCACTGCTGGAACGAGAGTCCCTGCGGCCTGGGAGAATTTGTCAGAATCAGGAAATGGGTTACAGGATAGGGATCACTTGATGGATTACCTGTTATGCTCATTTCCTCTGGGGCACCTGACATTGGCCACTGCCAGAAGACAGGATACTGTGCTAGATGGACCTGTGGTGTGACGCAGCATAGCTGTTCTTATGTACCCTTCCCCCAAGTCAAGTCCCTGCTCCACTTCTTCCCACCCTGCTCCTTTCTCCTCCCTCCTTCCCAATGCACCCGTTCCTTCAAGCCCTTTCCTCCCAATGGATACAGTCTCAGGGATTACTGAGGGGGCGTGGCGAGGGTCAGCAGCAAGAGTTAGCTCCCTCACCACAGGGAAGCAGAGATGCAGCAGCTTCTTCACCATGCTTCCATGATATCTCAGACCAGCCCGGCCACTCTGCTTCTCTGGATACACTTCCCCTGGGCCACAGGGACATGCCAACAGTGGCTAGAAGCCACTCTAGCCCCACCATAGTGCCAGTGGTAGTGGCAAAGAGTGCCATGGGTTTTTAAATCGCCTAGGGGCAGTAGGTGAGGCTAGGGGTGTGCAAGGGATGGGTGGGCATAGTTTCCAGACCTGCAGACATGGGAGAATACTCAGAGGCTCCTACTTCTCCTGAGCAGTGTTAGAGGGGGGTGGGCACTGGCTTGTTAGGAGGGTTTGAGGATTGGCATTGTCCCTACGGTAAAGTGAGTGTGAGACCCCTTCTCTAAGCAGAGGTGAAGTTGTGGAATATATACGGATGTCATTGAAGGGAGGAGAGTGAGGGTTGATGGGAAAGGGGGATTGTACTCATGGTACAGTGAACCCTCGTTTATCGCGGTAGATAGGTTCCAAACCCGACCGCGATAGATGAAAATCCGCGAAGTAGGATCCTCAAAGCCTCGGGGGAAGCCGGCGGGGGGGCATCCCAGGCGCGCCTGGGCTGCTCCCCCGCCGGAGCCCCTCCGCGGCTTTCAAAGGCTTTGAAAGCCGCGGAGGGGCTCCGGCGGGGGAGCAGCCCAGGCGCGCCGGGGATGCCCCCCGGCCGGCTTCCCCCGAGGCTTTGAAAGCCGCGGAGGGGCTCCGGCGGGGGAGCAGCCCAGGCGCGCCGGGGATGCCCCCCGGCCGGCTTCCCCCGAGGCTTTGAAAGCCGCGGAGGGGCTCCGGCGGGGGAGCAGCCCAGGCGCGCCGGGGATGCCCCCCGGCCGGCTTCCCCCGAGGCTTTGAAAGCCGCGGAGGGGCTCCGGCGGGGGAGCAGCCCAGGCGCGCCGGGGATGCCCCCCGGCCGGCTTCCCCCGAGGCTTTGAAAGCCGCGGAGGGGCTCCGGCGGGGGAGCAGCCCAGGCGCGCCGGGGATGCCCCCCGGCCGGCTTCCCCCGAG